TCCGTTCGTTCGTTCGTCCGTTCGTTCGTTCGTCCGTTCGTTCGTCCGTTCGTTCGTTCGTCCGTTCGTTCGTTCGTTCGTTCGTTTTCATTCGTTCACTCATTCTGTTATTTATTAATTATTCATTCTTTCATTTATTTATCCATTTATTCGTTCATTCGTTCTCATTCATTCGGTTAAGCGTTCATTTGTTTGGTACACCTCAACTAATTATCATAATATGTTTTATGAAGCTAGAATGACGAAGACGACGACGACGACGATGATGATGATGGTAATGATGATAGTGGTAATGATGATGATGACGAAGAAGAAGAAGATGATGATGACGACGTTGTTGTTGTTGTCGTTTTTGAAAAGTCTGAGGCGTGTTAAATTTTTAATAAGCGCACGGAAGAATGCAAACACGGAGACAAATTTATCTTCTTCACGTAAAATAATAATAATAAATAATAATAACAATAATAATATAATAATAATATTGAATCATAATAATAATAATCCATATTATTATTGTTATTATTATCTACAGTTAAACATTGATAAAAAAATGTTCTTAAAGAAATTCGCAACTCCATTCAAAAGATTCTTGCGTGCGAAGGTGGGCGCTATTTACTGGCTGAAAATAATAATTATAATTATAATTATAATAATAATAAAATAATCAATAATAATAATAAATTTTAAATGGTAACAAAAATAGGAAAATTAATTTTTTCCATTCGTTTAAAGGCAGTAAGTTACCTTTCTGAAGGCGTGTGTAACATTTTTTTAGTATGTTTGTGTTTGTATGTTTACATTTGTATCTTAAGTTTGCATGTTTGTGTTCAAATGTATATTTGTATCTTTGTTGTTGTTTTTTCTTTGCTTATTAGTTTGTATATTTATTTCTATCATTTTGTATCATTAGGTATCACTTTTGTATCATTATGTATCATTCTTTATCTCAAAAATTATGTCTTTTTGAAATATTTGTAACTAAAATATTTATGCTTCAATCATTACTTATTCATTTCTGTCTAATATTATCTTTCATTCCTTCAATCCATATATTTTCTCTCTCTCTCTCTCGGTTTCTCTCTCTTCTTCTGTCTCTTTCTTCCTCTATATCTCACTTCACGATGTTTATTAACTTTTTAACACGCACGGAACACAATTATTATTTACTCTCCAGACAGATGCTCCCACATTAAATAATGGACAGTTCAACATCACCATACTCATCGTCGTCGTCTTAGTCTTCGTCATCCTTAAAATCATTTACAAACATACATGCATGCATGCATACATACATACATACATACATACATACATACATACATACATACATACATACATACATACATACATACATACGTACATACATACATACATACATGCATACATACATACATGCATACATAACATACATACATACATACATACAAACATACATACAGACATGCATACATAACATACATACATGCATACATACATACATACAAACATACATACAGACATGCATACATAACATACATACATGCATACTTACAAACATACATACAGACATGCATGCATGCAGGCATGCATACAGACAGAAAGACAGACAGGCATTTCAAATGCAAGTCTTGAATTTAAGTTGTCTTAAGAGTAGATTAAAAGGCTACCGCAAAAGGTGATGCCCAAATAATTTATCGCATGCAACTAAATTATTTTTGTATGCACGTACGTATGCATGTTTGTATGTTTGTATGTACATATGTATGTATGTGCATTTGCATGTATGTATGTTTGCATGTATGTATGTATGTGTGTGTGTGTAGGTGCAACACATATTCACGCACACATACATATATGCACACTCATACACACAAACAAACAAACAAGCATACATACAAACACGCACATACAAACACATACATACAAACAAACAAACATACACATACATACAAACAAACATGCACATACATACATGTGTTTCTGCCAAAAAGCATATTGTGATGTATGTTGTCCGGATTGCTTATCAATATTCCCATAAATTTGTCTTGACTTTTTCTGACGCATTAATATTGTAATTTCTCCATATTTTATTTGTTTATATAATTTATTTATTAGTAGCAGTAATAAAATTGCAGCAGCAGCAGCAGCAGTAGTAGTAGTAGTAGTAGCAATAGTAGTAGTGGTGGTAGAAGTAGTAGTAGCAGTTGTAGTAGTAGTAGTAGTAGTAGTAGGAGTAGTAGTAGGAGTAGTAGTTGTAGTTGGAGTAGTAGTAGTAGTAGTAGTAGAGTAGTAGTAGTAGTAGTAGTAGTAGTAGTAGTAGTAGTAGTAGTAGTAGTAGTAGTAGTAGTAGTAGTAAGAAAGAACATACAAAACGCATGCGAATATATGACGCTCATATTTTATTTATGACTTCTCACACGGAGAAAATATAAAAACTCTCTCACTCTGTTTCTCCATATCTCTCTCTAATTTTCACATTCCTCCTCTCTGCATCATTTCCTTCTTTTATTTAATCTCTCTCTCTCTCTTTTCCTCTCTCTCTTTCTTTCTTCTACTCTCTCTCTCTCTCTCTCTCTCTCTCTCTCTCTCTTTCTCTCTCTCTTCCTGGTTACATCTTTTGTGGTTGCATCCTTTTTTTAATTTGGCACTTTCCTTGGTTTGTTTTTTTTCTTTGCTTTTTCCACTTTCTTTCATTTGCACATTCTTTCTTTCACTTTTTCCTCTCTCTTTCTTTTCTCTCTTTCTTTCCTCACTCTCTTTTCTCAATTTATCTCTCTCACTTTTGTTCTTAAACTTACTCTCTCTTCACTTTCATTCTCTCACTCTCAGTTTGTCTTTCACTTTCAATTTTTGTTTTGTCTTAGATTTTCTCTGTCTTTTTTTATCTTTCTCTCTCTCTTTCAATTTCTTTCTCTCCTTTTTGTCTTTCTTTCTCTCTCTCTCTCTTTCTCTCTCTCTCTCT